TGAATAGCTTGAGTATCCATAATTAACAGCTGTGTATTCGGTGCATGGTAGTGGAAAATGAAATGTATAATCATGATAACAATTCCACCATGTATAGTATGTCTCATTCTTTTGAGATCTCATCTATACAATTCATATTACAGAGTTTTCTGTATTAAGGCTATCCTGGGTTTTGTGTCCTGACCCACATTTAACGCAACTCAGATCAAGGTGATATATCTCTGAGGAATGATACTGTAACTGACATATATAGTGTATAGGGAAACGTGATACTTAGAGATACATTTCTTCACTCTAAAAAAAGGTAGAGGAGGTATTTCAGGTCGTAATTGTTTTCAATATATTCTATAGATACCAGCTGAATTAGAAATAAGGGCTGCATGGTTGCCTTAGTTTGTCTTTTGATCAGCTGAGTAATTCTATCAGCTGGAAAACCCTTGCCTTGAATTTAGTTAAATGAGCAGTTTTATTAGCTGAAACATTCTTGCTCTGAAGAGCATCTCTAAACTTTACCATGCATGTATGAGAGGGAAGCTCTCAAAGAAAAACTTCATCTGCTGTTTTGACTTTTGAGCTCAATATACCTTACTCAACATTCTGTTTTTTATAAATAGGAAAGTTAGCTTCTTCTGATTCATTTCTGAGTTAGTTAGAACTTTTATAAATTTTTCGTTACGTCGGCTGAGAAAAAAGTCAATTTTAACAAATTTTCTAAGTAATTAACCACATGAAGTCGTCATCAGGCTTAATCAAACAGGCGAGTCATAAATAAATTCAATTGTGGCAGTTGTTCCTCAATAAACTGTGCTAAGTTACATTTAGCTGAGACTAATCACCTGAAAATTCTAAGCTGAGCTATTATATTCTTGAAACCACGTAAATATTTAACAGTAAGATTTTTTTATCTATGTGTAATCAATAAATTTCAAAACTAGCACCTTTTTAAGTTTCTTTTTTATAAATCTGGAGAAAAATAATAAATTTGTATCATTAATAAGTACTCCTTTTTAAGTATAGGCCCATTTAGGGTAACTAATCTTGTATTTAACTTACTAGTGTCCTGAATTTTTAATGAGTTTAAATTTGTGCTCTATTTCACACCCTTTAAACTGAAACTTTATTTTTTAGAGAAATTTTGTGCTGCTTGTATAAAAAGTACTTTTATAAAACTCTGAATGTTATTTTGGGAAATTCGGTACTGGAAGTGTATGATTGCGATCAATATTTAAGAAAATAGGTAGGAATTAAGGAAACAGGAAGGAAATATTAAGAAAATTTCAGTCATATATTGAATAATGTGTGTTTCCTCCCCAGATAATGAAGACCATGAAGAAAGTCATAGAGAAGGTAATTATAATTTTAAGAAATTTTCAAAATGGTATAATCATGTGAAATTATGTTTAAAACAATCTATTGCGAAATGTGAATTGAAATTTTTATTATACAACACAACGAATTATTATTTGATTTGTTTATGCATACGAATACGTTGTAAAATCTTTTTTTTTATACATTTAAGCCCATGAAATTTATAAAACATTGGTATTTTCTTTCACCGTTTATACAGTCAGTTCAGTGCTTCAATGTACAAAGTTTTATATGGCCTGAATTATGTCATGGAAGATGCTCTACTATTGAAGAATGTAATTAAAACTTTTGGGGATAGTTTTTATATGTTGAAGGATAATTAACCATTTATGATGTTTTTTAAATGCATTATTTTTAGCACTGAATCAGGTATTATCAATTTCTCTTCAGGCATACTGTATTGACAATGTAGATATTATTGCCACATTATTTACCAAAACTAAATATTATATCAAGACTTATAAGATAGCAATTGATCGAAAATCTTTCGCAATTATAACTTGAAAAATCACGTCTCGCCTTTATTAAGGAAGCGGACAATACTTCACTTGGAGTTACATTTTGAACAGTAATATTACCTTAATCATAATGCAGATATATATCATTAACAGGAAAAAAAAACTTTTTAATCAGTAACCTTTTGAAATTATGTAACTTAAAAATAATTTTATGATAGATTGACTACGAAGATCAGATTGCAGTTTTCTTAATTCTTAGCTTACAGTTTGATTTCAGTGTGGGCAGTATGTAAAAAACATTAGCAATCGAGAAAATGGAGCTCTTATTTCGGATTTAATTACTTGGGGAATGATTGATTGGATAAAAGTTTATACGAGTTCTTACTTCTTAATAAGAACAGGGAAGTTTATTTTGCAGATACCGTTGTAGTGTATCCAGCCTAAGGCAGATATTCCTAATATGCTTTACTGTACTTAAGTAGTTTCTTCAGGTATATATATTCACTCGGGTCAGGAACTTGTCTGTGCAGGCCGTCAGATTTTGAGAACTTGCCATTTTACGGGTTCTACTGTATTTCGTAATGAGCACCAGTTGCTGTTGGTCTACGCAGGTCGGATTTCTTAAATTGCAATGTTCAACTGTATATGGTCGCAGTGAGGCACGATTAAACTGAGATCCGTATGTCTTGCTTTCAGAAGACAGGTTTTCATCGTTGAGTTGATGATATGGGTTAGATGTTGGTTGAGGTGAAGCAGAATTATCCATAGGTAGAGGAATGCTAACTGAAATCGGCCATAACGGCTGCACATTGCATTACAAAAAATTAGCGATGCCAGCTCGCGGCGCCGTATTCGGGTTCGTATGACTCTCACTGTTGAGCTCAGAGCTTGCGAGCGAGAAACCTTCACAGTTCACGTCCAAGCTTTTCGACTTGCCTGTCAGGATGGGATCAGTGTCCCTTGGATGGCAAAACGATTCTCAAAGAGTTGTGTTATAACAGCTGTTTTACCGGAAGCAACTTGGAGCGATGTCGTTCTATGCGGCGAGCAAAACTGACACAGACTATAATGACTTTTGAGGCATTTTAATCGTTAGGCTTAATATTTGACAGAAAGGTACAGGTCCGAGCTAGGCCACCATCTCTGTAGTACTATAGCTTACCGAAGTAATGCTGTATCTAGATAATTGCTATGATTTTGCTCTAATTTGAAAAGTATAGAGGGATGAGTTCTATGGTCTCGAAACCCTCATCACCTAACCCCAGCTCTCTCGAGAATTTTGGCTTGCCGTGTATCTTGAGGGCCTAACTTCGGCACAGAGACTATACGATGACCAACATCAACGCCTTCTTTAGAATTTCAACACGAACGCTATCCGGCAGTCAGCGTAGAATGAATAATTTCAGTAAATGACTTGACTATGTGATCTAACTCATTTCCTATTTGTGGTTTTATTTAAGTATATTATATGTTGTTTTATCTTGGTGATCTGTAGATATTTATGATAATGTCCGTGATGACCGAATTGTGATGCGAGTATATTTCTTCTCAGTAAAACATGTAAGTTATGCTGACAATATTTCCGTCAAGAAAAGACTAATGATATTTTCTAAATTGTCGCTGTATTGCGTTGGTGTATCTGAAACTGCAATGTTAAGGTTAGCTAGAGATGGAAAGTCATAAATTGTCTTTGAAAAATGATTAGTATTATTACAGTTTCATTCATGGTGGTGTGCATTAAAGTTTTTAGAGATTATAAGTCAATCGGTCAAGTTAGGATATTGTCTGGAGGTTCAGCAAAATAGGACTTATAGGGTTTTTATACAGAATATAGATGGTGACTAAAACGAATTCTCGTGCGGTACCTGGAATGTTGTGAATAGCTTGAGTATCCATAATTAACAGCTGTGTATTCGGTGCATGGTAGTGGAAAATGAAATGTATAATCATGATAACAATTCCACCATGTATAGTATGTCTCATTCTTTTGAGATCTCATCTATACAATTCATATTACAGAGTTTTCTGTATTAAGGCTATCCTGGGTTTTGTGTCCTGACCCACATTTAACGCAACTCAGATCAAGGTGATATATCTCTGAGGAATGATACTGTAACTGACAGTTTTAGTGGTATAGGGAAACGTGATACTTAGAGATACATTTCTTCACTCTAAAAAAAGGTAGAGGAGGTATTTCAGGTCGTAATTGTTTTCAATATATTCTATAGATACCAGCTGAAAGAATAAGGGCTGCATGGTTGCCTTAGTTGGTCTTTTGATCAGCTGAGTAATTCTATCAGCTGGAAAACTCTTGCCTTGAATTTAGTTAAATGAGCAGTTTTATTACCTGAAACATTCTTGCTCTGAAGAGCATCTCTAAACTTTATCATGCATGTATGAGAGGGAAGCTCTGAAAGAAAAACTTCATCTGCTGTTTTGACTTTTGAGCTCAATATACCTTACTCAACATTCTGTTTTTTATAAATAGGAAAGTTAGTTTCTTCTGATTGATTTCTGAGTTAGTTAGAACTTTTATAAATTTTTCGTTACGTCGGCTGAGAAAAAAGTCAATTTTTACAAATTTTCTAAATAATGAACCACATGAAGTCGTCATCAGGCTTAATCATAACAGGCGAGTCATAAATAAATTCAATTGTGGCAGTTGCTCCTCAATAAGCTGTGCTAAGTTATATTTAGCTGAGAATAATCACCTGAGATTTCTAAGCTGAGCTATTATATTCTGGAAACCACGTAAATATTTAACAGTAAGATTTTTTTATCTATGTCTAATCATAAAATTTCAAAACTAGCAACTTTTTTAAGTTCCTTTTCAATAAATCTGGAGAAAAATAATAAATTTGTATCATTAATAAGTACGCCTTTTTAAGTATAGGCACATTTAGGGTAACTAATCTTGTATTTAACTTACTAAAGTGTCCTGAATTTTTAATGAGTTTAAATGTGTGCTCTATTGCACACCCTTTAAACTGAAAACTTTATTTTTTAGAGAAATTTTGTGCTGTTTGTATAAAAAATACTTTTATAAAACTATGAATGTTATTTTGGGAATTTCGGTACTGGAAGTGTATGATTGCGATCAATATTTAAGAAAATAGGAAGGAATTAAGGAAATAGGAAGGAAATATTAAGGAAATTTCAGTCATATATTGAATAATGTGTGTTTCCTCCCCAGATAATGAAGACCATGAAGAAAGTGATAGAGAAGGTAATTATAATTTTAAGAAATTTTTAAAATGGTATAATCATGTGAGATTATGTTTAAAATATTCTATTGCGAAATGTGAATTGAAATTTTTATTATGCAATACAACGAATTATTATTTGATTTGTTTATGCATACGAATACGTTGTGAAATCTTTTTTTTTAATACTTTTACGCCCATGAAATTTATAAAACACTGGTATTTTCTTCCACTGTTTATACAGTCAGTTCAGTGTTTCAATATACAAAGTTTTATATGGCCTGAATTATGTCATGGAAGATGCTCTACTATTGAAGAATGTAATTAAAACTTTTGGGGATAGTTTTAATATGTTGAAGGCTTTTTAACCATTTATGATGTTTTTTAAATGCATTATTTTTAGCACTGAATCAGGTATTATCAATTTCTCTTCAGGCATAGTGTATTGACAATGTAGATATTATTGCCACATTATTTACCAAAACTAAATATTATATCAAGACTTTATAAGATAGCAATTAATCGAAAAACTTTCGCAAATATAACTTGAAAAATCACGTCTCTGCTTTATTAAGGAAGTGGACAGTTATTCACTTGGAGTTACATTTTGAACAGTAATATTACCTTAATCATAATGCAGATATATATCATTAACAGAAAAAAAACTTTTTTAATCAGTAACCTTTTGAAATTATGTAACTTAAAACTATTTTTTATGATAGATTGGGATCTGACAACGAAGATCAGATTGCAGTTTTCTTAATTCTTAGCTTACTGTTTGGTTCAGTGTGGGCAGTATGTAAAGAACATTAGCAATCGAGAAAATGGAGTTCTTATTTCAGATTTAATTACTTGGGGAATGATTGATTGGATGAGATTTTATACGAGTTTTTACTTCGTAATAGGACCATTGAAGTTTATTTTACAGATACCGTTGTAGTGTATCCAGCCTAAGGCAGATATTCCTAATATGCTTTACTGTACGTAATTACATTCCGTTATAAGTAGTTTCTTCAGGTATATATTTTCACTCGGGACAGGAAGTTGTCTGTGCCGCCGTCAGATTTTAAGAACTTCTCATTTTACGGGGGTCTACTGTATTTCGTAATGAGCACCAACTGCTGTTGGTCTATGCAGGTCGGATATCTTAAATTGCAATGTTCAACTGTATATGGTCGCAGTGAGGCACGATTAAATTGAGATCAGTATGTTTTGCTTTTAGCTGACAGATTTTCATCGGTGAGTTCATGACATGGGCTAGATTTTTGTTGAGGTGAAGCAGAATTATCCATAGGTAGAGGAATGCTAACTGAAATCGGCCATACCGGCTGCACATTGCATTAGAAAAATTAGCGATGCCAGCTCGCGGCGCCGTATTCGGGTTCGTATGACTCTCACAGTTGAGCTCAGAGCTTTCGAGCGAGAAACCTTCACAGTTCACGTCCAAGCTGTTCGGCTTGCCTGTCAGGATGAGATCTGAGTTTCTTGGATAGCAGAACGATGCTCAAAGAGTTGTGGTATAACAGCTCTTTTACCAGAAGCAACTTGGAGCGGACAAATGCTTGTGCGGTATCTGAAATGTTGTGAATAGCTAGAGTATCTATAATTGAAAGCTGTGTAGTTGATGTATGGTAGTGGGAAATCAAATGTATAATCGGGATAACAATTCCTCCATGTATAGTATGTCTCATCCTTATGCGATCTCATCTATTACAAGTCATAATTACAGACTTTTCTGTATTAAGGCAATCCTGGGTTTTGTGTCCTGATCCACATTTAACGCAACTCAGATCAAGGTGATATATCTCTGAGGAATGATTCTGTAACTGACAGTTTTGTGGTATAGGGAAAAGTGATACTTAGAGATACATTTCTTCACTCTAATGAAAAAATAGAGGAGGTCTTTCAGGTCGTAATTTTTTTCAAAATATTCTATAGATACCAGCTAAATTAGAAATAAGGGCTGCATGGTTGCCTTATTTGAAATTTTGATCAGCCGGGTAATTCTATCAGCTGGAAAACTCTTGCCTTGAATTTAGTTAAATGAGTAGTTTTATTATCTGAAAGATTCTTGCTCTGAAGACCTAAACGTTATCTAAACTAAACGTTATCTAAAACGTTATCTAATCTCTAAACGTTATCATGCATGTATGAGAGGGAAGCTCTCAAAGAAAAACCTCATCTGGTGTTTTGACTTTTGAGCTCAATATATCTTACTGTACATTCTGTTTTCTTATAAATAGGAAGGTAAGTTTCCTCTGATTCATTTCTGAGTTAGGTAAAACATTTATAAATTGTTCGTTACGTCGGCTGAGAAATAATTCAATTTTAGCAAATTTTCTAAATAATTAACCACATGAAGTCGTCATCGGGCTTAATCACAACAGGGGGGTCATATATAACTTCAATTGTGGCAGATGCGCCACAATAACCTGCGCTGCCTAAGATACATTTAGCTGAGAATAATAACATGAGAATTCTAAGCTAAATATACCAGTTCTGAAAGATTTAATTTACTATTAACATCAATGCACTTATGACCACTATTGTGCTTAATGAATTTTGTTGTCCTGGTGGGTAAATAAATCATCCTTAAGATTAATATTTTCGAAATTCTTAGTAATACTGTAGCGTTCGGGTGGAAAAGGAAATTAGGCTCGAACATCTCGGTATACCAAGCAGAGCTTCTATCTATCAGTGCTGCAATTAGATATGCGAACACATGTCAACAGGAGAAATTCTCCATACTCAGTGATTCAGCATCAAGTCTGGCGGCTATCGCAAGTCAAAACAGCCGGAGTCCATTGGTATACAGAATTCAGAAACAGCTTCTGACAATGCCTATTTCGCAAAGACCCACTTTAAAATGGGTTCCCGCTCACACAGTGATTCAAGGCAATGAAGCCGCTGACCTACTGGCCAAGCAGGAAGCCAACTGTACGGATATATTAGAAAGACCAACTAAACTTCCTTCGTCTCATATTAAGCGAACAACTTTGACAAGTCTGCTACAAAATTGGCAAAGTAGATGGACAGAGGCATAGGTAGGACGAAGGACATTTCGCTTACTGCCAAAATTTAACATGGAAATAAAGACCCACTGTGCTAGCCTAACACAGTTCTTGACAGGTCATGGACCATTCCCAGTATACCTGAACAGATTCAGACTTAGGGATACTCCTTTCTGCGAATGCGGAGGAAGGCGACACGGACCATTATTACTTCCATTGTGTACATACAAGAACCTGGCACTTGAAGAAACCAGCGGACTGTGCCTGGGCAATGTGGACGACTAACACACTCAAAACAGAATAGCCCTTGATAAAATAGAGAAAATCTCAGGACACTGCCTAAGCAGAAACAACCGTGGATAATATTATAATGTTTCAAAAGTTCAGAACTTAAAGCAGATAACCAGAATAACGCTTAGTGCCTTGCAGTTAACAATATGTAAAAACTGTTATTAGTTTATAATATTCAACCTTGTTACTCTGGAGTCTTCCCCGCCGTGATGGTATATAATTCCGTTTGGTTCATGTCCGTGCTCGGAAGCCATCATAGCGGTGCACTCACTCATTCACTCTGAGTGTTTAATAATAGAATTTCCTTGGGAGGGATAAAGTCTGCATTCTGGTACTCACTCCTGTGGTACCCAGTTATTCGTTTAACTTCTTGTCACCATTTGCAGGCGATCGATCGCCAGATCAGGTTCTCCAATTTCTGTATCCGTAAGGGCACTGTCATGTTCTCCAGGCCCTCTGAATTAGTATTTGTTCGGCGTGATATTGTGTCTTAATTCCTTTATTAATATAAACGATTCTACAAAAGCAGTTCTTGGTATGTGTAGCAGGATTAAAGATTTCCAAAATAAAAATATTTTGAATTAAATTACAGCAACAAAGATATGTGTATAAGATAATGAAGTTTCAATTTGTTATTAAAACATGAGAACCTTCATAGGAAGCTTTCCGAAAGAAGAACATCTTTGACGGTTTTCTAATTATAATACACTTCGACAATTTTCTGTACCCAAAAAAAGTTACTATTCACTTTTTTAGAAGAAAGTAAAATTAATTAAAGTACTTCTTTTAAATTTGCTGTTTAATGTCAATTTCATCTTTGGATTCACCAGTAATAAGTAAGATACGCAATCTAACATTTGTAGTTTTAACTAATTCAATTTTCTCTGATAATGTGAACTAAAGTTTCCAAATACATTATAACATATAATGTGGTGCAAAGAAAATGTCTTCATAAATTTTATTTGGTGAAATTCTTTCCCCGCACAAGGCTTAAATAATTTACTTAAATTAATAAACAGTTTATCTATCACTTACATAATGAAATTGTGACGTATTTTTAATATTCTTTTATTCCTCACTAAACGTTCTTACCCAGTGACATACATTCAATGTAGATATTATTATACAGTAAATTTATATGTGTTTTTACATTAATCTACTTGAGTTTTAATAATTTACTATAAATAATATTTGAATAATTACTGTAAATAATAGTATTGTTATATAAAAGTATATGTAATTAAAAAGAATATAAGATATATCAAAAATTCAATTACAGAATATGTATTTATTTCAGCTCGAGATCTATTAAGAGCTGGGTTCAGAAAAGGAGGTAAATATTTTTCAATTCCGCTGTTATAGTTAATATATATGATGCCTATAACAGAATTTTGGATAAAGTATATGTTACCGCTCAAGTGCGAAAATCAGTTATTCTGCAGATTATCTAGCTAATCTGCAGATTAACTAGAGTAATTCGGTAAAGTGCGGAAAATTGTTTCATTTCTCGAATTACTAGGTAATCTTTACATTATATACTAGGCACTCATTGAAAACTAGACCTTTGCTGGAACATGCTTTGCAAATTCATTTCCTTAATTTCAATAATATTTAAACCGTTTTATTCTTTGAATTATAGTTTTGTCATTGATTCTATCAACTAACTTATTGATTGTTCGATTGCATTAACTTGATTTTTTAGATATAAAAAATAAATAAATAACATTATGCTAATTTAAGCGTACAGAAACATTTCTGTTGTTTCAGCAAAGACCTTATTTTCCGTTCAACGAGCGACTAGTAGGCAATGTGCAGATTGGCGAGTACCCAGTACATAATGTGCAAAGTGGAGGGAAAGGAAATGAGAGAAACAAATTTTTGAATTTTAATGATGCGGAAGTCATTAAGGTACACAATATGGAAAACTCTTGATTCCGCACTTTGACGGTGCAAATCAGTTAATCTGAAGATCAGCTAGGTATTGTGCACATTAACGACTTTCGCACTTTAGCGGTAATATGTATAATGTGTTTTGTGATATTGTTTTTGCTTCCCTAAAATATTACTATTTAATTGTTAAACGAGTATTTTATATTGAACTTATTACCATACAGCAGATTTTTTTCCCTGGATTTATAATTGATCTACCAATACTTGAGTTCTCAAACATAAAAAAATTTAATAGTTTATATGTGTGTTATATTTCTATGATATTTTGTTACTAATAGGACTGCATGCATTAGTACTCACAGTAATTGTATTAAACTTAATTCAGATTTTGTAAAACTTCCTTTTGAACGATTTAAACAAAGTTATTATAATTATTGGAATGCTAAGCTATCTACCTGAGAAGTTATTCTACTTAGATTAAACTTCCAAAGATTTTCGCATCCGTCAATTGTTATCATATAGTTATTTACCTCTGCTTCCAGAATCATAAAATATTTTGCGTTTTGTAAAATAATCCATTATAATATCGAGGGTTTTCCGTGAAATTCCTATATCGACGAGTTTGTGAAGAAAGAGGGGCAGAGTTATGCAGTCAGAATCATCGCTCACGTAGAATGAGGTTGCGACCACGTGTTCATGTTTTCGATTACTTCTTATATAAGTGATATAATAAAATACATATTCAGTGTTCCGTCCGGGGTAGTATAAGATTAAGACATTTTTAATTTAAAATAAAAACTGTACTACATTTGATGAATTTGTCTAATATTTTCCCAAGAACTTTCAAAAGACATAATAGTTTATACTTACTATTATTGTTCTTTGGTAAAAAATAATTTTGCAATTTTCCATATACCCTACAAAAGGCCGCATTTAAAACATATATTATATAATAAGTTAAAAAAGTCTTACATACATACTTACGTACCACCAGCTGAGTTGTTGTACCGCCTGTTATATGACTATCAGAATTTGTACTTCAATTGGTAATTTGTACACAATTCTATTGTCGCTAGGCCTAGCCAAAAATCTTTATAGAATATTAAATTTTGTAGCGGAATTTATGGTGGGTATTGGTGACCTGTGGTTATTAAAGGGACCCTCTCAAGACTTTGCCTGTGCTGAATGAGGATTTTAGCAATGTTTTATACATTGTGATTCTGAGTTTACAGAGAGGTTTTTACTCTGGAATTCAGTGATAACTTGGATACGAGAAGTGATTATATGAACAATATCAACTGGGTAAATTAATGTACATAATATGGGTTCATCAGATGTTCACATATTTTCAGAGTTCTGGTGCAATATGTGCTTGTCACTTTTATAGTAGTCACCTGTTCGCTTACAGTTAAGTATAGTCTGCCCGATAACTGAAAGTGATGGTGAGAAATAGAAATCGGTGTGTAGAGTTGTAAATTTATGTGTCCATTGAAAAGCATGTGCGGTTCACTTGTACACAGAGCATCATTTTACATCTGCTTAAAAAAAACCTTCAAAACCTTTCATATGAAAACGTTATAAGCTCAGTGTGTAATCCATTCAGCTCGAGGGAGCTCCCTGCGCTAATCTGATGAACGGCCGCTTTAATCTCTTCCGATGTAACATTTTTAGTGTTTTCTTACCATTCATTTATTTTTTCAATAAGTTAGACAAAATTTGAATACTGAAAGGTGCACATATTTAACCTCTTTGTCGTCCGTAACGAGTCTAGTGCGTTCAAGTGAAACTTCTGCAGGGCGGTAGTAACGCGCCTGAAGCGTTGTTCTACATCCTAAAACTTTTAAAAGTTTAAAACGCTTTCTAAATGTTTACTTGTTTGAGTTTTTATTTTTGTTTATTCTAATACCTCCTAGAGGGTAGCACTAATCAGGCTTCTATTTCTAATTGAATTTGCCCTGGGTTTTATGAATATTCGCGCCATTTTACATAAGATACAAAACAGTGAGAGATGGCTTCAACGTCTACTCAGCAGAAAAAGAGAAAAAATGAGGTTGTGAATTGGAAAGACAAGAAGGATATACGTTTGATGAGTACAGTCCATAATAACTTCTATGATTGATGCTGGAAACACGGAAAAAAACTGTAAAAAACAATAATTGTAAAGTATTACAATGGAGGGAAATACAAAATGGTATGGTAAAAATACAAAATGGGAGGAGGGGACCACCTGGATCAGATGTTATCAAATTAATCCTGCTGTTAGAAATAAACACAGATATTATTTACTTTTCCATTATGCTTTATTTCCTTTATAATTTTACTTAATATTTATTGACATTCATCCACTACGAAAGGCCTGTATGGAAAGTTATGATGTACAGAGAAAACAATATTACACTCTACGAAAAACAGACGGCCGCTGGGGAAACATTTTCGCGGACAGGAGAGGACGGCGAAAGGGTTAAAAGCTTTTTAATAGTATTTCTTTTAATTTGTCTGTATCGTCTTTGAATTCAGGGGAAACCTTAGATTAGTTTGTTTTTCTGTCTAATTTGTTGACAATACTATAGCTGAATATGAAGTCTTAGATACTGTTTGTGTGTTTGAAAAATAAGTTTGGGGATCTTTAGGTTGTACTTATTTTTATCTTTGTCAGGTCGGACATGGTCTTGCATAAGCCGGATGGTCCCCTTTGTAGTTGACATACAATGAGACTGCAGTGTAGCTGTCAGATTGATGCCCAGCGAGCGTTTTGCACATGTTGGGCTATCACAATGAGAAGTTCTCATGTACACAAACAGCTGACACCGTAAATATCACATTGGTTTAGCACGAATGGCTGAATTAAGAAATGCAGATGCCCTCCCTTTATGCATTTTGGTAACTCAGGAAATTTAAACGTAGAAATGGCAGGGTTCATAGGATGCAACACTATATCCTTAAGATATTTTATTCTTCTAGCACTTCTTACACTCTGATCTTCTAGCTCTGCTTATAAGGGTTCCTCTGGCAATCTATGAAAATGTGGTTCCGATATAACGTCACGAGGGAAATTCAAAGATTTGTGCGCTGACTCAGTCACTGTCACTGAACCATTGATGTCATAAGGCAGATTGCAATGTACAAACTGTCGCTATAAGGAGGTCACTAGATTAGATACACTTTATATTTCTCCCTTTCTCCAGTTATTGAAATTAAGTATTTAGTTGTTCAAAATGGGAAGAAATTTTCAGAAGTTCACTACTTGAGCTGCTTATAACGACAAATATTAAGAGGTAAATCGTACAATGTTTCCTTCGCGTTTGCATCTATTCGTGATAGTTTGTTTACAACATCAACGTCACTGTTTGATTCATGGAAATAAAAATAAAAAAAAAAAAACTACTTTTGAAAAATTAGAGAGATTCGACTCTACGGCCCCACCCAACGCAGCGTCCAACAAGGAAACGTAGATATCTGCGCCAAGGCTAACCTGGTCTATGAAGTCTAAAGCTCTACAGTCAGCTTTTCCAAAAGCAGGAACTCCCGAAAGCTTAAGCTATTGACACTAAGGACCAGCCGACAGGCACTAGTGGGGCAGTTAAGTGCCTCTCATTTCGATCTAAATCTGAGGCCAAAGCAATATGTTGGGGACACTACCTCGCCACTTAGCTACTAGAATCTTTTTTTCTAGCCTCACTAGTCACAACGCACGGCAAATGCGTAAGTGGGTTTTTTCTGCGTGAGAGACTAGAAATAAAAGGATGTAAAAGCGTCTCATTTTGACTTCTAACCTCCGAAAAGGGAACCGGCAGGAAAGAAAATAATGAAAAAGCAGGAGATAAGGAAAAGGAGAAAAGAAAGAGGAAAGAGATCACTGGGGCTGAGGGATCGTGACCCCTACGACTCACCAAAAAGGGGGGCCCTTGAAGGTCTAGATCACCTAGGGATTGCCATACCTGTACTTACGAAGAGTGAGCTCCCTAAGGGGATTTTCTTAGAATAAGTATAAATATTTACGAAATATGTATAAAAAGTTAGTTTTCGAAAATTTTCAAAATTTGTTTCTGAATTTAAAATAACCCAAAACATAAATATTTAGCTCATTTGAAATATTTTTTTACTTGAAATATGTATTTATGATCAGCGGTTGGGAAAATAAATATCGTGTAAGGACACATATACGCACGAGCTCTATATATACTATGTATAGTATATATAGAGCTCGTGATCATTTGCTCTTGAAGTTATGATATAGATTATAGTATTATTATATAGCCATACAAAGCATATTAAAACAGTTATCACCAGGATAAATTTGAATAAAATTTTACTAAAGAAATGAAGAACTCACACTTGGAGGGAACAAAACAAAGATTAATTATGATAAGAATATGGTTGCTAATTGTTTTTAATTTATAATTCTAGGTCCATTTGAGATTGCTCCAAGAGCAAAAATAGGTCGAAATTTTATGTCTAAATCTGGACGTCGACCCGGACAAAGATACGGAGGATTATCAGGTAACATTTTCCGAAGTGCGTTCTTTTGAAATATTGCAGTTAATATTTGTGTGCAATATAGTAACATACTTTATGGAATAGATCCCCGCTCAAACAAGACTACTTGATAAGAAAGTATTTTTCTACTTTTCTTCTAATTCATCAATGTAAAGAAAATATAGATTTCAGTAAGGCATTAATAGTGTTTTAGTTGTTAGTGATAACATTTGAAACTGTGTTAAATTAACGTTATTTGGTTACATTAACAATGGTTGTTTATTTTGTTATAATCGAAATCACAGATATATTACATATCGACTGCTAGTTGCCTCAAATGAGCGAGCCTGCGTTGCTATGAATGGGCTGTGGCCCAACAGTGTTATCGAGGCTAATATTTTGTAATATTTTCATGCTGAAGAATAAAATGCCGTTACATCTGATTTGGAGCTAACAGGAGGAATTAAATATATAATTATATAATTATCACATTTTCTTTGTTATAAGAATAATTATAAGCTTTTAATCTAAACCGGAGTATTCTTAATTCGTGTGCAAAATAAATTCTTTATTTCAATTATCATAATGATTTCCATTACTTCTTGCGTAATTTATGCCTGTTTGTAGTTTTAAAATGGTAACTATACAATAAATATATTATTAAGAAACAAATTTCTACGACAGAGACTGAAAGAAAGGAAATTAGAAGTTGTCACCCAGTTCCATATAGAAAGGTTCTTTGCGAAAGCATGTTTATAAGCAACAATGTAGGGACGGCAATGAATGGTTTTGCTGAAACAGGAGTTTGGCCAGCGCACAGACCAGGCCAGCGAATATTTCAAAACCCTCATTTTGTTGCCACAGTGCATTTTGAGACAAATGATGTTCCTGTTGTAGAAGTTTCTGGCACAAGCCTAACTGCTTCTATTCGTGGATTGTCACATGCCATGTCACATGTCTCCAGGGAGAAGATCTGTTGCAACCACCAGTGGAACAGAATCAGAACCGTTTCCATCTGGTGCATCAACACTGTTGTCAAAAGTTAAAGTTTCTTTGGGTTAAATCTTTACAATTTCATCTAAATTCTAAATTGGAAAAGGCTCAAACAAAGCTCAAAAATCAATACTGTTAACAAGTAGCCCATACAAGCAGATCCTGGAAGAGGCTTAAAAAGAACAAAAGGAAGAAAAGGCACCGCTGGGGGGGGTGAAAAGACGACTCCAAATTTCTGAACCGGAGAAGACAGTAAAGACTTCCAACGAGGATTCACTGTTCTGTGGTATCTGATGTGATGACTTCAAAGAAGACATAATTCAATGTCTGTCGTGTAGATTGTGGGTTCATGAGAAGTGTATTGATGTCAGAAAGGGGATCAAAATGTATTATTGGGAGAATGCAACTGAACTCATCAAGAACGAATAATTTATGCAGTAATTTGTGTAAGATTTATAGCCTGACATTAGTAGTAGGCTTAATAATTGTTTTATGCTATTTGAAAGTTTTAAAGTTATAATTATTTTCCTTTTTACACTAGCTTAACTATAAGTCACCCTCAAATTCTCATTTTCATTAAATTGTTTCTAATAAATGAAATTCAAAGTTATTTTCTAGATTCTCACATTAGGCCTATTTTATGATAAAGACTAAACTAAAATCCAAATCCTGATTCTTTGTGAATAATACGAAGCTATCAATACGTTTCAATGTATTTTCAGTGGTCTGTGTTGGTTTCTAATCAGTATTTTATATTTACGAATCGTGCTCAGAAAAGTTTTAAACATTTCATTGACTTGTATTAAGATGATTCTGTATTAAAAAGAAAATAGCTAACGGCCCATTCCTAAAAACTCCCCTGCTCAATGAAGGCTACCGGTTTCTTTCATTGGGCCAGTGGCATCTATTTTTATTTTTATAATATTTGACTATTTCATAATTATAACGTCTATTCCTAGATATGTGTAATATGGAAAGGAATAATTTATACTGGTTATTTATAATAACCAATATAAATCTGTAAAACTAACAAATTTGACGATTATAAGGATCATATTTTTAAAAGTGGCCCGTCGATACCAACTGTCCCCTATGTTCTTTCATTTTTAAAAACTAAGAAATGCTAGTCAGAGTGCTCGTAAAATTTATATTATTTACCAAAAGCATGCTGTTTCTGTTGGCATAGGTCAAAGGTGGTTTGATAAATCTAAGCATTGATGTTTACCATTCAGCCTCGAAGTTGAAGCCCACATCGGACGATAATCCTCTGTAAACAAGGAGCTGCTAAATGAAATATCGCAAAAAATCCTTGTAATAGAGTTAATGAGCTATTAGACAGAATAAATATTCAAAAACGTACAGAATTTGATTATTTGAAGGAACCTGGGTATGTACGTCGTTACGGTGTACATTAAGAGAGTAGAATATGCATGCTTGAGATTCGGTATATTATTTTTTGCTGAAAAAGGGAAGCTTCCTTTATTTAGACGCCATTTTTTAAAGGACTGGAGATGAGAAATGGACATTATACAATAATGTTACAAGACAAATAAGTGGGTAGCCAAAAGAACTTTCTTTGTTCATATCGAGATTGGGCAGTATTCCAAAACGCAATGCTTTGTGTAAGGTAGGACTATGAAGAATTTGTATGCTATGAAATGTTGCAACCAAACTAAACAATAAATTCGGAAAATACAGTTTCCAAATGTCAGGTTTAAAAGTAGAAACCGAAGCAAAATGCTCAGAACTGACCAATCTTTTCTTCCATCATGACAATATTCTGCCCCATATTTCGATGAATGTCAGATGAAAATTTACTGAATATGACTGAGATGCTTTGGGCCATCTCCCATATTCGCTAGACCTTGCTTTTTTTGATTTCCATCTCTTCGAAATTCTCTGAAAGGCATGGAGCTCGCTTTTTTAATTTCAAATATCACGTCGATAACTTCTTGACGTATAAACCTAAGAAATGTTTAAAAAAAAAGGTATTATTTAGCTCCATGAGCGCTGGAAAAAGGCCACTGAATAAAATTGCGCGTGTATGATTCAATAAGAGTTCTTCTTTTTGTACTGCTTCCTTTGTATTTGTCATGGATGGCCTAATATTATGCTATTTGTGATACCTCCACGAGAAGATACGAGTTAAATAGTTCTCTAAAATTAAAGAACAGTTTCATAACTTCGAATATCACGATTTTATGAAATACCATTAAATTCATTTTAAAGTGTGATTTGCATAGTCCAGCATTCGTCTTTTGCTTAGCAGGCAATGCATGGTGCTTTCGCGGATTTCTTACTGGTAAATTTAATATAATATGAATATGAAAACTTCTATATCAAAACGAAGTAGTTTGTATAAGTATCATTTTATAATATGTGTTAGCTTTACCTATTAAATTCTTTTAATGAGCATATTTTAACAAATGTTTATGTATAGTGCTCTTATAATCTGTCTCATAATCGCTTTTTTCATCAAATTAATATGCAGTTTCTTCTACCGATACTTCATTTCGTAAACTATCAGAATTTTATAATATTGTCCGAATGGTGAATGGGTAAGATACTAGATTTTGGAATATGTATGCCGAAATTTATTAATGTATTGTTCTCTACTTTAAATTAAATCTAGCTATTTATCTATTAAGAATATGATTTTAAACTTATTTATAAAAATAACTATTAAATATTTTTATTTCAGTTGGGGCTGGCGCTCGTTTAGGTTTCGGATATGGAGCAGAAACAGGTAATAAACTTTCTTCAGGTACTTCATTTAACATTTCTTAGAAATAAAATAAATACTGTATGTTAATAATATAAAATAAAATATATGCCGTGTTCGCAAAATGCTAACCCAGCCTTTATTTTTACAACTGTTGACTGTAGACATATTTTTCCAATTAAAACAATAAGAGATTAAATGATGTGAATATGAATTATTGGCCTTTTAAAACTAAAATAAAATAAATAATTTGGAAAATTATAAAAACGCCTTTCAATCATAAATCGCCAATATAACATTAAAGTGTGTATATGATTATGGCAAAGCCTCGAGGGCTATCTGCCTAAGGGAAGGGATACCTTCGTGGAGGACTTTCTAAGGGAAACTGACTCGTATACACGTTACACATGGGGAAAACCACGAAAACGCCCATGCAACCAATTACATTAAGGAAAATTTTATATGTATTATAAAAAAACAAATACAAAACTTTTGACTTATTTTGCCATAATATTTGACCAAGTTCTTTCCTTTTAAATTTGGAAACCATATTCAGGAAGCACACACAAATTAGAGAGCGAATTGTTTGCATTATGATAACGAACAATAACATAATTATTTAGAAATTTAAAATGACAACTATTTCTAGTTTAATGAATTTTATGAATGACTATTAGATTATATTCCTAAAGCAATTACATTTTATGAAAATATTATTAACATACTTTATTACCATTTGCAGTACTTAAATTACGTGTGTGAAAAGTTTTTCGGCATGGTGGATGTAACAAAATTATAATGTGTTACAAATTACACACTAACAAAATCACAAAATAATGTCATTGACTAACATTTAGGAGGAGAAAGGAAACTCGAATCATTCTAATTTATTTTTTAACCCTCAAAGGAACTTGAAAATGATGTCAAATATCCAAAATTTTGAAATTAAGTATTTCGATCAAATTTCGTCAAATGGAAGTCTAACATTTTGCTTTAAATTTTTTATAATAAAAGTAAATATTTCTGAATATATGTAATAGGTGGCAGGAGAACGTGTAAAAAGTATATTTCCTAAGTTTTATCAAATTAAATACTAAACTAACCTCGGCGGCACAAGTAGCTCTTACTGAGCCATGTGTGTGCTCAAATCCATGAGTGTCCTCAAATCTGCTTTCTATACCGTGGTCTCCGGGGTGCTTGTGCATCTTTGCCTGGAGAAGTCGTCAGCTTGTCGCAGGAACCTGTTGTTTAGTCCCCAAGCGAACTTGGTATTCTTTTTATCGAGCCACTCCAGGGATGAAAGGCTGAGTTGAACCCCGGACTTGTTGTGCTGCTGCGCGACGCGCTATTAAAATTAACTTTTTTTAATTCATATAAATAATAACACAAATATTTGCATCAATACGAAAATTCTTGTGTGTGAAAGTATATGTCTATCACCAGAAGTTGCAAAATTAAAGATCAGATAAGGACAGTAGCGGACACTTTGTGTATTGCTATATATGAGCATTCCTTGAGAGTAAATTATATGCTTGGGAATATGATTTTTTCGAATTTATTATAATACTAAGTAAGCTTCATATTATTTACCTATGTAATCATTGCTTATGTTCTCCATCATCAATAACTGCTTCGTTTTTCAAACAGTTTTTAGTGGCGAATCCTTGATTCATGCATTTCGCTCAGAAAATACAATTTCTTTAGAGATTAGCATTGTAGTTTAAAAGCAGGGTACTTTAGAGTATTACAATTATTAGATTAGAAATGATATTTACTGTATAACAGAGATTCTCAACTTGTGGTACGCAAAGAAAAAAATATTTTTATCTATTAAGTTCAAAAATCTCGAAAGGAACAAGAGAAGTTCGTAGAAATGTTTTGTGATCGAACTCGTACTGAAGATTTCAAAAATAGCACACTTGTTAACTTTTGGCTGAACCGAAGAAAATAATTTATAGGCATCTCTAATAAAGCTATTGAATTTTTATTACCTTTTTACACAACATTTTTGTGTGAACAACGATTTTTTTCCCATGTTATATTTGAAAAATAAAAACAGAACAAAATTTAAATTGGATCCTAATTTACGGTTAAAACTAAGTGAAATAAGACCAGACATAAAAAAATGGATCTTTCATAAACAGACCTAAATAGCACACTAAATTTTAGAAAAGTATTATAACTTAAATTTTTATAATTAAAATGGTAACTAGTTTTTAATCTAATATTTTTATGTGTGCAGATGTAATACAAATAGCCAATAAGTTGTGCAAATGGAAGAAAAAATATTTTTAAATAATTCTACTGAGTATTTGAAAAATAATCATTCTAAAATGTTGCGGTGGTACTGAAGGTTTTCGTTTTTTGTTTAGGTGGTACGCGTTAGTCAGATCTGCAGTCATTATAGTATAAATCAGAAACTTCGTTCCCCAATGTAGGGAAAATAATAGCGCTTTACTGGGCAGAAAATAAGGGCTTGTATGAACATAATTATTTAATGCTAACCTGAATTTAGATCGAAAGAAAATAAGGGCTTCTACGAACATAATTATTTAATGCTAACCTGAATTTAGATCGAAGTGGCTTTTTGGAGTAGATTTTGGCTCCTACCGTAGAAGAGGTAATTCATATTCAAATACACATTTATTTGATATAGTTTATTTACGAGCTTTATAGATGCATATATGTAGGATACCTTCCTTCCCTACTGAAAGATGGCGTTATCATTACTTTCTTGCTGAGACCCAGCCTATTGGAAACACAGACAATCGCCACCGAGGAGACACAGGTGCCTTAGTAAAAGGACGGTCGTGAAGGGGCCAGATGGCAGGTTGTGCGTATATAGCCTTCGATGTTTCAGTCCCGCTCACAATTCATTAGTGAATCTTTTTATACTCTTAAAAAACAAGATTTTATAGACTTTAAATGTGCTTACATGCCATCAGTCATGTCTGCATCTACGTTTTCCTCTATAATTCTGTAATGTCCCAGTTATGTCTGCATCTACCTTTTCCTCTATAATTCTGTAATCTCCTAAGTACTAATCGTACATAAATGGAAAAAGATGTGTATTTGTCCACAAGCTGAATTCGTCTTCGTAATTCGTAAGAATCCGAAAAAGTTCTTACATATATTGGTCTGAGCAGTGAATAAACAAGTAGTTTATTCATTACTTCAGTTGCGATAATTGTCATGATTAAATGTTTAATAATTTTATGCACCACTACATTACATATAAAAATTTAATGAAGATATTCTAGCTATAGTAAATATTTTATCCTAATGTTGCCTATTTAGGTGGGGAGAATGCAATTTGTTATTTTCTAATTTGTTTGGGAAACGTAAAAATGGGGAATCTTGTTCACTGCATTCTGCGCGAGTGACATGAGACAATATTAATTAGAGATTTATCTATGGATATTCTATCCTGAAGAATATTCAGGTGAAGTTCAAAATTCTTTGCAATAATTATTTAACGAATTTTATCTAAATGTTAAAAACATATGAAGCCAAATTTGTAAACTTAATTAATTAAAATTATTAACTTAAACAAATCCTTCTTAGCTGTTGATTATATAGAAAATAGAAAAGAACTCATTATATAGAAAATAGATTATATAGAAATTGATTATATAGAAAATAGAAAAGAACTCGCAAACAAATTTATGCTTATATAGAATTGTCATGTCAACGAGTTTAAGCCAGATGTATTTAGAAAAAAGCGCATAAGCTTTCCAGTAATTTTGCATTATTAGTTTTTTTAAAATCTGCTAAAGTTTCATCTTTTTTATCTAGTCCCAGCATGCAATTCGTTATTTCTTTCTCCTGCATTAAAATATAATAATTTATCAAAATATTTAAACTTGAATTTATACTTTATTTTAAAGTCGAATACGATTGTGATTTGATTTTGATATATATCTGCATCTCTTCCTTCAAAATCGAAAGTAGTGGTGGTGTTGGTGTATTTAATTATGGCAAAGCACACTAGGGCTATCTGCCTAAGGGGAGGGATGCCTTCGTGGAGGACTTTCTAAGGGAAACTGGCTCGTATACACGTTACACATGGGGAAAACCACGAAAACACCCATGCAGCCAGCCCGTTCGCGGGATTCGAACCTCGGACCGAACTACCAGTGTTCAGCGACCAAAATCGAAAGTAAGGACAAAAGGAATAGAAGCCAGGTCACATAAATTTTGTACATGCTAAAATTAATTCCATGAATCCGCTAAGGATTAAACATTTTTTAAAGCCTTTGGCTAGCGAAGAACTGTTTCTTTCGTTCTTATTCCTAACTCGGAATTACAAAACAAAACATTTCCTTCTGAACAATACGTGAAGCAGAGTATTTTTTCTTATAGTTTATACTATAAGATAAATATTCTTATAATAACTACAGGAATAATTAATTTCCTTCAATTACTTGCCTACATTATTTTCTAATTTCTGCATTCCCTTTCCTTAGTATTAGTAGTATTTCTTCCTCATTTAAAACACATCTGTGTGAGATATTTGCATTACCTCACGCAGCAAAATTTTAATTATAATTTCTATGCTAGGTTATGTTATGTTATGTAGAAGTGAGGAGGCCTAATATTTACCAGACACACTAACTAATTATGATAAAGCACGCCGGTATGACCTACAAATATATGCTCTTATTTAGAAAATATTTGCATTCATTTTTTCAGGTGCAAGAGCTTTTGGCGCTGGTCTTATGTACGGTGCAGGAAAAGGTAAAATGTATCCTTCTATTATACCCTAAACATATTTGTAATATAAATTATGGCATGCGACTTCAGTATATAATTTATGTTATTAGTAAAGTGAAAATGATTTCGACTTAGTAGGTTTTTAATAAGTGAAAATGATTCCAACAATACTGGTTTTACTTTACATTTTTTTTAGTTCTAGTTATGCTTTAAAATGCACTGAATGCACATTGGTGCTTGATTTGTAATATCATCAAAAACAGAAAACTTGTTTCTTTAGGTAAACAAGCAAATTCAGTTTATGTTACTATTAAGATTTTTAAAACTGAATACTAGCATATGTAATTGCGCAACTGCCATATGCTCCGCGAAAAGTCTTATTGTGGATGTATATTATGTAGCTAGATCACAGTATAAATTTCTTAATTAATTATTAACATTCTTTATTAACATATCATTAATTAACATTTTTTTACAGCAATGGAACCTTTCTTATAAATTAAAAGAAAGTACTTAATAATCTTTTCACAGTGAAAGAATTAATATATAAATTTCACAGTGAAAGAATTAATATATAAATATCTTTTTTTCCGATGGCAGATTGTGAACAATTACAAATGTAACCCAGTCCATTAATCTATACAAGGACGGATGTGGTGGCCTTTTTAATATGGAGGCACCTGATAGGTGGGCCACCATCGCCGTTCCTATGAAGGGACGGAAAGTTACAACCATGCCTTCTCCGGGATTCGAACCCAGGTCTTTCGGCACGCAGTCAGCTTCCCTGACCACTATACCGACTGGGCAGCTTAATATATAAATATATATTTATTTGTTTAAGGGCACTGCATATAGTATAAAACTGTAGTATGAAACAATAAAAATGGTAATAAGATGTAATAATATGTTATAAACCGAGTTCAGAAAAAAATTAATATCTCAGAAAAGAATTCAGGCTGATGAGGAATGTGATGTCCTCGGACCTTGCATATACCTTTTACGACGTGTTTTTATGCTCGCAATAGCGTTGTTAACCAAAGTTTGCGGAATCAAGCTCCAATCTTCCAGGAATGTGTCTTCAAGGGATGTACATTTCTAGGAAGAGGATATTTCCGAGCAATTGGCTCTTTCATAGTAGTCCCATAAGTTTTCTATAGCGTTCAGATCAGGAAATTATTTTGGCCAGGTAGTTACTTAGTAGCCTCACTTTCAAGGAATTTCTGAACGAGGTTTGCTCGATGTGCACGAGCAATATAGTCCATAAATAAAACGTCGAATCCATATATACCTCTGAAAGTTCTAAGAGAACATGTCGATATCTAACACGTCGGTAACGAACATGTCGTAAGAGAACATGCTGGTACTGGTCTCAGTTCCGCTGTTAAAACGTGTAGGGGTGTAAATCCATCAAATATTATTTCTTCCCATACCAACATAACTATATTACCGAAACAGGCACGTTCCATAAAGTTGGAAGAAATATTTTACTTTCCTAAATCTGATTCCCTCGAGACGTAAATTTTTCAGAGTCAGGTGTTGAACTAAACCTTGATTCATTAGTAAAGAGAACATGGGGTGACCCCTGGTGTTCGCTCTAGTTCTGCTGTTTTCTGCACCAGTCAAAGCGATCTATCTTTTGTTGTGAAGACAGTGAAGCACATACGCATGTCTTTCTGTCATAAAGTATTTTCTATTAAGCACTCTGTATACAGTTTGCCGTGATACATTTCTATCTGCGACTGTATCACTGAACTCAACTGTCAAGTAAGTGGTGTATTTAATTATGGCAAAGCACACTAGGGCTATCTGCCTAAGGGAAGGAATGCCTTCGTGGAGGACTTTCTAAGGGAAACTGGCTCGTATACACGTTACACATGGGGAAAACCACGAAAACGCCCATGCAGCCAGCCCGTTCGCGGGATTCGAATCTCGGACCGAACTACCAGTGTTCAGCGACTTTACCGCTCGGCCGTTTACTGTCAAGTAGGAAACTTCCTGTTACTACGGTTAATTATTGCCAGATCTTCAGAAGAAGTTGATCTTGTCCAGTTCTCTTTACAACAGCTCCAGAGTTCTGAAATTGTTTCCATAGCGTAGTGACTGTCTTTCATGAAACATTTACACATCCTCACTGGTTCCATGGTTATCTACCCTGCTTTTAAACTGCCGTTGATTCGCCGTTTCACAGATTCTAACAAATGAAACCCATAGCCATAACAAACAAGTCTTAGGCCTTACGCACGAAATAAAAAGTTGTGCAAAAACTCTCTCCTATGTTTGCTTTGCGCAAAGCCACTTGCATCACTGTCAGATAATGCAACACATTGATTTCCCTATTATAAATCGTTTCATCATTTTTGATTGGATAATGCTAATAAGGCTTATATTTCGCACTTTCCTAGCAGAAATAAATTCCATAGGTTGGATATTCATCATTATTTTTATGTTTCTAAAGATAACTTTCTGCATGAGTGCATACATATATCAGTAATAAAATAGCTTATTTAATAAAAACTTTGAAACGAACGTCAATAAATATTAAGCTGCATATAGATGAATATAATTACGGACCTATTCACGCAAATTTAAAAATATTCTGGCGTTAAGGTTAAATAGGCCAACTTTGAAATGTTAACTGATCTCAGTGTGTAGTTTCTCAGACTGATTTTGAGGATTTCATCATAGGGAAAAAAATTACCTCCTTAAAATTTTCCATATTTTCTGCCTGGAGATACAGAGCAAAAAGGGCAGATATTAGAGAACAAAAAATATGGCTAACCATGTACAGGTGCTGAGCGATGATATAGAAGTTAGGACACCTACAGTAATGCAATATGCTTTAGTCATTATGCCTTACGTAAACTTTAAGAAATTTTAAATTTACATTAAGTTACATTAAGGTTACATTTTAAGTTTAAATTTTAAGTTAAGGGGGAGTTTTAGTTTACATATAATTCAGATTATCATCGTAAAGGGGATAGATAAGCTCTAGCTGGTAGATTTATTTAGAATTTGTAAATGTACAAACTAAAATTTCTTAAACGATTTTACACTTTTCTGTAAATTTTCCCATATCTGCTGAAGTACTGTAAGCATGCTGCAGTATGAACGCAACTATTTCAAATATTTTTTGACATTTCGACAATGTGTTATATATTCGAAATACTGTATTCAAGTTGAACAATGTCTTTCTTATGGCAATGATGTTACTCTAAGAAAACAACAATAAATTGATTTTACTTGATGTTACTTTATGAAAACAACAACAACTGACTCTGCTTGATGTAACTAAAATATATTACTGTTAAAATATTATTATTATAAATTATTATATTAATGACATTATTGCTTGTGTACCATTTTAGCTAAAGCTTCCAGTAGATTCGGTTATGGATACGGATCAAGGTTAGGAAAAGGTAAGCTTCCCTTAACGTTAGCAGTAGATCATGCTTTTGAAAGATTCTAATTGTTGGCCTTTTACTTTCTCCGTGTGATGTTAGTGTTTCAAGTGCAAATCATTTTCTTCTTCTCCGTTAGGTATCAAAATGTTCAGAAATCGCTCTTTTGCTTCCCTAGTCTTCGGAATCATAAATGGTACCTGCTTATGATTCCAACAACTGGAAAAATTGTACTCACATTTGTTGGAATCATAAATGAATGTTATCTTTTTCCCGGATTTGCTATTTATTTACAAAACAACTCGTTATACAATTATTATATTTCTTACAATGGTATATACCTCCAGTGTTTCTAACACTACATTTATTCGGTGCTGAAGGACAATTAATACTTCTAACTAAACTGAATGATTTACGAAATCATTTTCTGCGCTCTTTTTCTTAGTGGAACACGAATTACTTGCAATGGCTTTGATCGTATCCAAGCTTGAAGTTGTCAGAAGAATTTCTTAATAATCGCATTTCTTATGTTTTTATAATATGTCTGTTAGATAATTAAGTTTTGTTAAACATTCGATTTTTATATAAATATATGTATATAAACGAGTGTTGATTGAAATACACTTCTGTTTTGTCCTTTATTCTTTAAATTTCTTTAATTTTTTTAATTGTGGTACTGCTTGTTTAAAACTTTTGGTTTTAGAATTTTTAATTTTTTTTTCTTCCACTTATATGATTATTTGAAATTTATTTATCATGAATTTAAATTTTTGTCTCTGTAATTTATGTTTTTACTGATAATGTTTCAGCAGCTTAATGCGCGAAAATACTTGGCATGTTTATATTTTGTTTTTTAAAAAAAATTCTAATTATGTAGACATAAAAAAATTATAAAAAATAATTGCCTGTATTCAGTGACTTCCTATTTATACTTATCACTCAGCTACGAGAGTATAAACATAACTGCTTATCTAAAAACAATCAATAAATACTTCCAACTACTTGAGTTAAGTGGTTGAAGTACTGGTTCTCGATATGGAATGGGAAATAGTAAATTTATTTCTTTCGGCTAATTTAACTTGAACAAAACGTAAGTATAAAAACTTAGCCTTTCAAAAGACTTTTAGCTCCTTCGAGCCTGGTAGCGAAAACGTGCGCTTATCGCTGAGGCCGGCAGTGTTACGCGAGCGTCTCTCTCTCCAGGGCCGGGGCTTTTTTCCTACTAAGCCTAAATCCATGAAATTTCCGAAGTATCAACGCATTGTTTAATAATGCTCTATAGAGTATTTAAACGGCTTATGCTTTATAGATATTTTTATATATATACTTTAATTACCTTATTTCTTGTTTAAATGCATATTTTACACATTTTATTTTAATTATTCACCATTTTATGACTTTTAACATTATACATCTGAAAACTAAATGTATTACTTAAAATTCTCTTTACGTATGAAAAATTTGAAAACAGGGATCTACACACAGTCCTACGTTACATTCCTTGCACTCGTAATAACTCATTTACCGTTTTGGAGGATTTTTCCGGGAATGTGAACAAACGAAGCATCGTCGTCTCATTTTCTTATCAGTCTCTTCTGAACAAAGTTTTGGAAAATGTCTTTCAGTTAATCTTTCAGAATCAATATCAGAATATCAGAATTTCAGAATCAATATCTGAAATTTCTGCTATTTCATGCTCTGTTAAACATTTTCGACGCTTCGACATTGCAACGGTAAAAACAAAGAATTCACGTCTAACAAGATCTAATTATTTTCTAAAACCTGAACTGCAAACCGAAATACCCAACGCTTTAGAGCACATAAAACTGTTCTACTTACAGTAAACAACTACCACGTGCGAATAAAGTGCGATTTAAAGAGGCGTCATAAATTACGCCATTCGGAAACATTTATTTCCCCGTTTGTTTATATAATCAAAAACACGTGTATGTGAGTCATGCTTCTCTAGAAGGTCTAATTTCGAGTACATGTATCTGAAACATATGGATGACATACATACACAGTGCGATCTTGTGGCAGAAATTATAGTTTGAAAAACGTTCCAAAGTACTGGCACAAATACGTGACAATCGGTAGAGAATGGAACAATCCTCTGGCACGCCTGCGTGTCGGCCGGTAGATAAGTGCGTTCGTTGCTGGGACGTATACGTGACAGTCGGCGCGAAGGGGTTAGGGAAAATATGTTTCAAAAGTTTCCATTATTTATAAAAACTGTTATACGGTTTTATCATTCCGTAATTTTTTGATTTTTGTAATAATTTAACACAAAAGGCATTTTTACTTCCTTGTACGAAGTAAAGGAGGTACTGAAATCGCGCAAAAATTTCGGGTGTCGTATTTCAACGAAAATATACATTTTGCCCGCTCCTGATTCAATTTGAACGACATATTTACGTAATATTTGTACGTATGGGCAGAATAAAGGTCTCGTTTTTCCAAAATGGATTGTGAAATGGATTTAAAACGCATTCAGAATAGATTTCGTCTTGATGTCTGTACGTGCGTATGTCTGTATGTATCTCGCATAACTTCAAAACGAGTAGAATCAGAACGTTCAAATTTTTATATATGGGACTGCTATAACATGTAGATGTGCACCTCCTTTTTTGGTTGCAATCGGAAGCATCAAAAGTATATAAATATATGTCTATACTGAAAACTAATCAGTAAAAAATTGATCTCTGAAAAGAAAAGGAATTTTAAGAGATTTTAATAATTTTAGTAAAACTAAAATAATAATTTAATGAATATTTTTTTAAATGTTATTTATTAAAAAGTTTTAAGAAGTTGTAAGAATTTTTAATAATTTTATGAAAAAAATTCTTATTGCATTAAATTAACCATTGGAAAATTTCAAAGAACATTTGAATTTAGTTTTTAAATGCTAAAAACTGACCACCATTGGATTCTCGTACATTTTAAAAATATGTGGAAGTGTGAATATTTATTATAATGTTTTCTCTTTTTTTTTGTTTTTCTTTACTCTATTTTCTTCATTATTATTACAATTTTTTTAAATATTCTAATTGCATTTTTTAAAATTTAAATTTGGGTTTTAATTTGGAAGTTTTTGATTTTTTTTACACTTAGGAATAATCTTCTGTTTAGTTAATTCTAAAAATTTCAGTAAGTTTTGGAATAATTTTTTTGAATGTCAAAATTCTTTGCTTTGAAGCATTTTTTCACCTTTTGGAAGATGCCTTGTTCAAATACAGTTTTTAGTTTTGCCAAAGAAACCAAACTGGCAACCTTTGGCATCCCAGGTTCTAAAGGAGATTCTAACGGTTTTTTCTTTGTTTCAAAGTGGTTTTTGATTAGAGGTTCTCGCAAAGTTTTGTGCTTTCATTTTGTTTTTCAATTTACAAGATTTTTAATTATAGCAATTTTTAATTATTAATTTTTTTCTATATTTTAAGGGTGAGTTTTAATTTTTATTAAAGATTACTTTTAGGTTAGAAAACTCTTTTCGAACTGGAATTAATTTTTTTGAAATTAATTTTCGGGTGAACTATTAAGATTAAAAAATACATTTAAATGATTCATTAACTCATTGAAGAGACAAATTCTACATTCATTGTTTTTGGCTTTAAAAGTGATTGAATTATATTGTTTATATATTCTGTTTAAGGTATTTATGCTTCTATTTAATCTGCATGCAGTAAATGTAGAATTATTAATAGTCAGATTTGTTGAAGTTTCAGTAAGCCTAATGACGCCGCTATCTGTTTACGTGTGAAACTTAGTAGCATAGTGAATTAAGTCGGTTTCTGCACAAACTCCAGTGTTTTTTCAATGAGTGGGACCAAAAGATTTGTGCACCGAAATATCTCTCTTCCTGCCTGCGTTTATTTAATTTAAACTCTAATTTTAATTGAAAAAAAATTTAAGGTTTTTTAACTGTATTTAACATTTAAGGTTTTCCTGTATTTTACAATTTTTAATGATGTTTTGAGTTTCTATGCATTTTTTCCCTGCCGCGAATTGAGAACTAAATTGATTGCATGCGAAATATATCTCTAATGAAATTCGATGAAATAAGTTTAAATGAAACGCGGCAAGAATGTGCATAATTTAATAAGCCATACAAGGAAGTTACGCGTTGTCCACATCAGATTTTTTATTTACCATGTTTTCGTAAATTTCTTGATCTGACAACTATAAATCTGTGCATAAAGTATAAATTTATGTATAGGTTTCGTAATAATTTTAAAACATCATCTCCTTAAAATATTTGATTAAAATCACAGTACTTCAATAACCATAATACTCTACAAGGTTAAGCTCAATTTTACGTACTATAAATAATAGTCTAAACTTCCAGCCTGCCAGATGAAGTTTCGCCAACACAACATTAAATGAATACAGCAAAGATAAAAACAAATAAAAATTTATTGTGTATTTCAGCCTAATTTCACTGGAGATGTACAACAAAAAGAAAAATATATGAGAACATAAAATATAGTAGCTTGCGATATAAATCTGCTGAGCGAGGATATTAGTGTATGACACCTATAGTAATGCAATACGCTTTAGTCATAACGTCTTATATATCGTTTTAAAAATGGGTAACTTAGCTTACATTTATTTCAGATCATTATCGTAAAGGAGAAAGATAAGCGATGGCTGTGGGCATATTTAAATTTTGTAAATGAAAAAAACTAAAATTTCTTAAAATTTAATTTTTACATTTTACACTTTTCCAATAAATTTTCCCATATCTGCTGTAGTACTCTAAGGCTATGAACACAACTCCTTCAGATATCTTTTGACCTTTCGACAATATGTTATATATCTGATATACTGCATTCAAGTTTAAAAATGTCTTACTTATGGCAATGATGTTACTCTAATAAAACAACAATAAATTTATTCTATTCGACGTTACTTTATGAAAACAAGAATAATTGGCTCTACGTGATGTTACTAAAATATATTACTATTAAAATATTATTATTATAAATTATTATAATAATGACATTATTGTTTGTATATCATTTTTAGCTAAAGCTTCCAGTAGAATCGGTTTTGGATTAGGATCAAGTTTAAGAAAAGGTAAGCTTGGGTTAAATTTAGCCGTATATCGTATTTCTGAAGGATTCTAATTGTTAGCTTTTTACTTTCTAGGTGTGATGATAGTATTTTAAGTGCATATCTTTTTCCTGTTCTCAGTCGGATATCAAAATGTTCAGACATCACTTTTCTTCATCCTTAGTCTTAGGAATCATAAATAGTACCTGCTCATGATTCCAACAACTGGGGAAATTTTATTCGCATTTGTAGATCTCACGAAAGAACTTATTCAAATAATATTTTGAAATAAGTAATGGGCAAATTTTTAAAAATTATGGGAGGCTTTCACGAAGGTAAGGTTCACGAAAGGTATCAGTGTTTCCTCGAGTTGCTGGTTATTTGCACAGTCAACGTGTTATACAATTATTGTATTTCTTAGGATTGTACCTAATTTCAATATTTCTAACACTGAACCTATTCGGGGATGGAGGATAGTTAATATTTCTAAATTAAATGATTTCTGATTGCAATAATTTTAGCCGTATCAAAGCTTGAAATTGTCATAAGAATTTCTTAATTCCTCTTTTTTTTCCAAGCTCGTAGAACATCCATTAGCTAACAACATTCTATTAAACATTGGGTTTTGCGCAGCTCTTAGTAGCGGAATTGAAGCCAAAATATGCAAGGAAATGAACTTTTGTTGCAAAGAAATATTATAGTTAATGTTAGAGATAATTATATATAAATAAGCAATATGGCATGCGGAACGACTTGTACATTAAACGGACTTGCGAAAAAGTTCTCGGAATACTAATTAAAGAAAGCTGTATTATTCCTATATAGCCCTAGACTTGATGGCTAAGGTAGGGGTGGCACATAGTAGTTGTTTGTGCATCGTTTAGGTGAAATCGTTTTGGACAACTGAAGTTAAATGAGGGTCTCTATGTATGCCCCTCGAATATGATCTATGCTTGGTTATAACCAATTACTGAAGAACTGAATGTACAGAAATGTTATAAAACACATTTCCTCGTCATAAGTTTATTCGCTTATGGAAAGCCTCCCATAATTTTTAAAAATTTGCCCATTACTTATTTCAAAATATTATTTGAATAAGTTAACTACTGTTATAAAACTGAAACTTCTGTGGGGAGCATTTATTTTAACCAGTTCTTATTTCAAATAATTTAATCTGCCTCGGCGTCTTCCTCTCAGTTTCATTGGTTTCCAAAAATTAAGGAAAAGGTCACAAAAATAGCAATAACATGTTCACGAATAAGCCAATCTATTTACATTTTGAATAGATTGTCAACTAAGAATTGCTGTGTAAAACAGAAGTATGCAAATTTGTGGCGCTGCAATCGAAATACGTCATCTGTGAGTAGCATATAATTGCATTTTTCAAAGCAAGCCAGCAAATTTCGGTCCGTTACTGAGATAAGAAATCTAGAATAGCAAATTTGTACCAATGACATCCAGACATCATTTGCCAGAAGATCTACGACAAAGACTTATTGGGAGATTAGAGGAAGGATAAAGTCAGACAGATGGCTAAATGTGAGTCCTTCTGTGATTCTAGAATTTGGCAACAATTTGGAATCCAGGCGGTTCAGCAAAGGGCAGACAATATCTATGACGAGCGCCGATGACCGATATTCGTTATGTGCGCGAAGGAATAGAACCTCAACTCCCAACTCAACTCAGATCCTTCCTTGTTGTACGGACTGGAAGGTTTGTGTCAACGTCAATTGTGCGTAGAAGGCTTCGCGAAGGAGGTCTGTAAGCATGGCGACCAGCCATTTCCATGCCGTTCACGGTACATCATGTAAGGGAACGTTTGAGTGGGCACGTCAACATGACCACTGCACAGCTGATCAATAAAGGAGTGTTCACTTTACGGATAAGTTCAGGTTTAGTCTCGAAAGTGACAGAAAGAGGTTTTGATTTGTAGAGAGCCTGGAACCCGTTATTATCCCTCAAACATTCGTAAAATTGTTCCATACGGAGGAGGCAGTGCCTGGGTTTGGAATGGCATCTTTTTGGATGGATGCACTGACCTCCATGTATTTCCACTTGGAAGCATGAATACTCAGGCCTACAGCGATGACATCCTTGACGCTTATGTGCGCTCTTATGCTGAGGCAATGGGTGTTTATTTATTGCTACAGGACGACAAAGCTACACCGAAAAGGACTCGAATCGTGGATGATTATATTCAGTAAGCAATTCAGCGCATTGACTGAGCAGCTAGATCAAGGAACTTCAATCCTATCGAGCATGTTTAGGATGCTTTAGGAAATCGTATAATTCTCAATACTTCTCTTGAGACTCTTGGCCCTCTTGCAACTGCTTTGCAAGAGGAATAATTCTCACTTCCTATTAGACTGCGGAATTGACAGCATCGTAAATCGCTGTATGGGATATTGCTTCTAGGGGAGATCATACTTCATACTGAAGTTAATTTTCCTATGCCAAACTGATACATCCGATTAGTTCATTTTATACATATAATAATTTATATAACGCCATAATTGTCTGGTAATTTCTTTTCATATTATTTTATACCTTATTGCGTTATGTTCTGTGGGTCAGTTTCATCACCTACATGTAATGTTTTGAATAATCGCCATTTTTATGATTTTCCATTTATTAATGATAACTAGTGTATATATACAGTGGCGGCCGAAATTGTGGGCACTTTTTGAAATTTTTATGTTTTTGAACTTTGTATACTTATAGAAAACGTTACGTTTCACAAAATGCAAACTTGTATATATCATTTTAAAGAGAATTTATTACTGAATTCAATACAAAACACAAGATTCAATTATTTGCAATACAAAAAAGTTAAACGATAATAGTTATCGATATACATTAGATAGTGATAATTGCAGTAAGTTATCAGTACTTAGTAAGGTACCCTTTATTTTTTGATTACAGCTTCACATCGACGTTTCATTGAGCTGACATGAGTTTTAAGCTCTTCTTTCGTTATTACATGATGCCAGGAAACCAATTATAGCCTCAATTAGTTCCCCTTTTATTGATGGGCGCCTCATTCGGACAAGAGTTTTCAAACGGTGCCATACATTTTCGATAGGATTGAGGTCAGGACTGTTTCCTGGCCATGACAACAATTTAATGCTCTTTGTACGAAACCACTCTTTCGATATTTTGGCCGTGTGGCAAGGAGTAGAATCCTGCTGAAAAATAAACGAAGCATTGTTGGAAAAGAGATCTCTGATGGAAGGTAGAAGTTTTGGTTCTAGAATAGTGTCAATGTATTTTCTGGCATTTAGTGTCCCATCGATGACATGAAGGCAACCAATACCATCTGCTGACATGCATGACCAAATCATAACACTAACTGTGTTCTTCACAGTTGCTTGAATGCAGTCAAGATGTAGCTCTTCTCCTATTCTACGTCTTACATATTTTCGCCCATCACTACCGAATAACGATATCTTAGTTTCATCACTCCGTATAATTTGTGACCACTGATCATCTGTCCAATTAATGCGTTCCTTTGCCCACTGTAGTCATGTAAATTCTTATAGAGAAACAAAATATGGAAGCAAAACATTTATGTTTACAAATTTCAAAGTTACCTCTGGAACCAGTCGTAGATCTAAAGCTAGTACAGATAACTGAAGTTGCCAAACAAAGTGTTTATTTATTTTGTCAGGACATTATCAGTATAATAGAGAATATTATTAGTTTTTTGAAATTATTAATGACTTGTATTACAGTTTGCCTTTTTAGTCTCTTTTTTACGAGTAATATATATATATTATGCACATTAAAGTTACATAAACATTAAACATATGAGAGCTATTTTTTAACTTTTGAAAGAATGTTTCCCACCTCATCTGAGATAAATGTTATTTTTTCCATCAGGGAAAGATAATGAGTTTGCCTAATGTCTAAAAAATGAATCAAAAAACCTATTCGTAAATAGCTATTCGTAGAATAATGAAAGAAAGCCTTTACACTTTCGTGTTTCTTGGCGTTAGTAAAATGGAAATGCTTTTGCAGGGGAGAATGAGATCAACAATATTGATTTAATTTTATATTCTTTTAGATCTAATTAGGAAAACATATTACAGGATAATATATACACTACATTTATTGCAGGCATTTTGTGGGCTTTACTTTCACAATCATCTGTCGCAGACATTTAGTTCCAGTTGTAAAAATGTTTTAAATGACTCAAATGTTTTCAATTCTATCTAATTAAAAAATGACAATAAATTTCGTTAAAAGTACGAATTCTACATTTCCATGCAATGAAGTATGTCACATTAGTTACATTAAGAAAATATTTAAATGCATTTCATATGTATCAGAGGCTCCATTATTAATCATTGCTTACAAAATAGATTTTTACTGAGCTTACTGAAGTTTTGAACCATATTCCATGTCCATAAAGTCCGCATCTGGCCTTTATTTTCGAAACCATACCTCCAATGAAAAAAGTGTTTTAAATGGGGCAAGTATTCCTGCTTCGGCATTTTTAAATAAAAATATCACGAAACCTAACACTTTTCTATGTTGTCTGCAGTCCTTATATTTATATTTAAGAAAATATTACACTCATTATAAAAAATGTGCCCCCCATGCCCAAAAAAGATCAAGTTAAAAATTGGAAATGTTCAAAAACGAAAACGGTTAGGAAACGATTTCTGAAGTTAACAGATTAAATACAAAATATTTCTATGCATATTATAATGAAAAGTATTGGTCAATGTATTTTTTCTACAAAAAAGGTATCTTAATAATAATATCTTGTAGAATTTTTCTTCCATTAAAATACTATCAGGTTTTAGTAATGTCGTACTGCTAGCTTGTAAAACTTATTTGCATACATTTTAAATAAAAAATAAAAATTTTAATACTTTTTTGTATCAGTTTTTGAATTAGGCTAGTATGTAATTAAACTGCATGAAAAATTGATAACGTATTTTTAACTTCTCAAAAGTTCTAAGTTATTTGTGTGAAAAGTCGTTCGATATACCATTTTTGGTTGGCAGTTTATTCGGGATTATTCGTTAATTTTGGTTGCCAGTTTGCATTCGGGGATGCAATATCTACCTCATATGTGAATTATATGTTTTAATTCCTTTTTTTACATTCGTACCTTCTCTTTTAGCGTTTGATGCTTATTTTTTGAGTGTATTTATTGACAGACCCTTCAAGTAAAATAGAAAATATCATCAAAAACCGCAAATTTCGAAAATAAGCATATCGTTATATTTTTAACATACGAGAGTCATTTTATGTGCTCTAATTTTTAAAATGTGTATAATATACATATACGGATTAAGTTCTACTAAATAAACGTGCAGGTATCGGAGAAACGTATCAAGAGTTAGATTTCATATTTCATGTAAATTTTGTTTTAATTTAAAAAACGAAAATATGCAATTTTGAGACATTTAAAATATTTTGTATGCAAATATATGTATCCGACCAATGTGCGGAAAAAAAGGCCAGGTAAGGATATTTGTGCACGCGGTGTATATAAGAAACACTTGTACAAAACTGAAAGCGTAGGAAATTATTTAGAATATATCTGTAAATATATTTGTTTCAGGTCAAGCTGGATTAGACTCCAATCGTTGGTACGGAGCATCGAGCATGGGTAAGTATATTTGCCTCAGATATATCACTTAATATATCTATAATATGAATTATGGTAAACATTTGTATATGGTTAATGCTACACGACTTGGATTGTGTTTGTAATTCTGTGCTATACGTTCTTACATTACATTCATCGCATATCTTACATACATTACATCATACATTTTAGATATACGGTTAACACGAACGGTATCTAAAGCTTCCTTGTAATTAATTATTTGCATGATCTCCATGTAATTAGGCAATCTGTAAATCCTTATATTACTTATTTTAGGTATGTGTTTATTTTCTAACTTAAATTTCTTCCTAGATCTCATAACGTCTCTGGTATGAAATAACCATAATACCTAGAGGTTATCTGCAAGACCTAATGAAGCATTGGCGAGTTATGGTCTCTGACATTATTTAACACAACATGCAGACTAAAATGTAAAATCGAGTAGAATTTTATTAACCTCTGCTAGTTGGCTTTACAGAAAATTAAAATAATAAAGTAAATGAAAGCGTGTTCTTTTCGTATAACATACGCGGAAAAAATATACGTTAATTCACACTAGGAGACTTTAAGATTTATAATTTGTCATATGCGCATACTAGTTGGCTGTTCGTATTGGAAATTTAAGGGGTAAGGTTTTCGGCCTTCTATGGTTATGTTCTTTACTTAAAAAGTATCCACTTCTTATTTTACGTAAAAGAAGAAGAATCAGAGGTTGTGGATGAGACCGATACGTAAAACACGAATGCAACAAGAAAATGCAAATAATTTAATTCAGATGCGCTTTGAACGCCATCGCAAATGTTTAATTACATTCGCATGATATCCTATTTATTCAATGATTTTCTAACCCTCATTTAATCAAAAACAGAACATTACGTTTTGTCAGATTAGAAAAGAATCATCTGGAGCATAGGGAAAAATATACCACAAAAGGATCGTTGTATATATCTAATTTATTTTATTTTTGAATTTTGTTGAAAGATAATTAAAAGTTCATATTCGCATATTTAGATTTCAGAGAGGGAGATTTTCATGGAGTAAGATACTGTAAAAATGTTTGCATTATGTATGTATTCCCTCACTAAAATCGGTAATTAATATAATAAAAAATACATTATGTTTTAAAGGATATAGGATTTATAGGGTTGCCAAATATCACACTTGAAAAAGCAAGAAATTTCTAAAAAAGCGAATAATTAAGAGAAATGTTTAAAATTTTGTATTAAAATATATTTCTACTGTACATAAGTATTTTTGTTTACTTAAATGCATCTAAAATTACTGCAATTGTTCATTCATATACACTGTGTAACATAAAAAGCAATGCACCAAGAAGGATTTTTCTGAATGGGACGAAATTGCGTATGCTTATGCCTTACGATAGACTATGCAAATGATTAACTTTCGGCGGGCATTAGCTGACTAGCTGAAGCTCCAGCGCATTGCAACGAAGCATCGAGATGGTGTATAAAACAGAGGACATTCTAATGATAACTTCCAAGTGAATGTGATTCGATCAATCCATGTCGACTGCGTCAATGCATCGCAGATGGATTAATTAAGAGTATGAGCAGATAACACTACTTGAAAAAGGATCTGCAAAGGGATTAAGTGAAGCAGTTTGGTTAAGTCTCAGAATCGCTAAACATTTGGTTCAGAGCGATGCTAGTATTCGATCATGTTGACAGGAATGGGTGAACCGGGGTGGCATAGAGTGCAAAGAATGTAACTGTCTACCGAGAGCGATGGCAGACGCGAGGACAAGGTGATAATCTAATCGACGATCACAGCACCTGATGCGTCCTTTTGAACGATCCGTCGTATAACCGGGACACCAGTGACGGCTATGACCTTTGAGAGCTGAGGTCATTGCGTCGACTGGCTCTCGACGCTGCCTACTTCCAAGCTCGTTTGCAATGATGTCAGACGCATTCGACCTGGGATCTCACGCACTAGAATAGAAATATTCTCAGCGATGAGTCCCGTTTCGAACTGAGCCACTATGACTAGAGATGTGCTTGGATACGTTTACGACAGCAGCAAGAAACTCATCTGACTATCGTCTACCACATAGGACGGCAACGCGGAGTCATGATATGGTGTGCCATTTGTTTTGTTAGTCGGATCCCTTTGTTTGTCATCCGTGACACGTTTCAGCGCGTAGGTACTTCGATGTGATTCTACGCCCCGTAGTTTTAGCATTTCCCCTGTGCAATAGTCAGATCTTTCCGTTTATTTACTTAATAGCAATTACCTTTCTATTATTTTCCATAACTAACAATAAAGTGTAAAACGAAAAGAGTGTGAGCGACACAAAATACAACACGGAAAAGCAATCGTCACATGAAAGGAAACGTCACTTTCGCCAATCTGAGCGATAACTGATTCTTGTTTGGCTTCTAGCCTGTTTACCAAATGAAGATGGTAACTCAATTTCGCTGAAGCTCACTTCCCAGAATTGCTCCTTCAAACGTTTTATTCCGGCAACGAATATCGTATGTGATAACAGCATTAGGCGCTTCAATAATAAAGTGACCACCATTTCTGGCCTTAGTTGTGGCTAAGCCGAAGTCGGCTAAGAGACCGCAATTGGTAAAAAACATTCATTAGCTTGTAATGATAAGGCAAGTACAGAGGGAGATCTAGAGAGATAGACTGGCATTGCCAACCTCTTCACTAGATTTAAATTGTCGCTTCTATTTAAAATGCACTTCATTTAAATATTTTGATTGGTAAGGAAAGAGAATAAAAGAGCAGTAAAAACTCAACATAGGAAACAGCATGTTAATTAAAATAATACTTGTGCAATCTTTATGGAGTTATATGTGAAAATTGTATGAAATCAGTTCATTTATGTTTATTATTTCAGGCAAAAGTGGGTTAAGACTTACTTCTGCATCTAAAGCCAATGCAGGTAATTGAAATCCCTGTTTTATTTCTGAAAAATTATCGACATAATTGACATCAATATATTTTAAAATATCAGAGAAAATTATTTACTAAAGTTCAGTTTGACACCCTTTTATTTAACAGTTAAGAAGTTTTGAAACACATTATTAAAGTCTGATAAAGAGTCAACATATGAGCCTATTCTTGGGTTTTGAAAGAACATTTTCAATTACCTCTGTTTTAAATGATTTCATAGTTAAAGAAAATTAACGAGTTTGCCGTAGGTTTCAGAGTAATATAAATATCAGAATAATAAGAATAACAAAAAGGAAAGATCTACAGATAATATCAGGAAAGAAAATTTGCATATTTAAATTTCGTGCGTTTGGAAATTGAAAATGCCTCCACAAGCAAAAATAAAATGATATTAAATTCGTTTTACATTCTTCTACTTCTTGTTGTGAAAATATTATTTCTAATAAATTTACTCATTGCGCACAATGTGCAGTTTATAACTAAATTTAAAAGGATGTCCTTTTTTCTTCGATTATGGGAAGTAATTAGTAAGATCTTATGACACTGTAATATTTTCAACATATTAATACAGTAGTTTGGACAATTTCACAATATCGCTTGCTGTATTATAATACATTTTATTATTTGCTTCATACAAGTATGCTATACTGTCTCTCAATGCTATCGCACAATTAATTTTTTTTATTAACCTTTTCTATACATTGTTACAACATTTTATAGAAATATGTTAGAACTATACATAACCTTTGCTCAGTTAATGACTGAGAATATGTAATATTTATACTTCGGTATTAATGTTGGTTAACTAGTAATTTAAAAAAACAGGCATTGAGTATTTGTTACGTATAAATCAAAACGATTTCCACCTGATCTTTTACACTTAAGTAATTTTCTAGCTACAAGATTACATACGCCAGTTTCCAGAATTTGAATGGTACCACGATACAGAGCAGATTCTATAGTTGCTTTGGAAGATTTCAAAGTAAGATTTAGGTGATAAAAATAATTACCACGAGATTTTTTTATTATTGCGATTAGAACTGCAGAATCAGGAAAGACAACTACAAGACCTACAAGTAATATAGTCTGCGATGTAAAGACACTAAGCTACGGCTTTGTTATATAGCACCTATAAAAGTGAATGCACATTTATCATAGCACCTTACCTGGTGTTTAAAAGGGCAACAAAAGTATGGGAGGAGGGGGACACATATTGAAATAGTTATTTATAAGTAAGATATAAAGAAATTACACATAGTTAGTTGGAAAATTATGTCAGTATCAGAGAGAACTGAGGATAAACTTCTGATATAACAGAAAGTATATTATCGATTTTAAAATTATGCGGGTACAATATTTACATAATTCACCAAAATGTCTTGAAATTTTAATAGGCTAGTTCAGAGAAATCACTCACAAAAGCAGAAAATTCATATTTTTATAAAATCTGAATGCAAAACGGAATTACTTTGGAAACATGTTAGCACATTACTCTCTTAAAATTTAAGAAGTCATGCGTAATGGTGTATTTGTATAAAACTGTACACGAAAACATTTCATATAAAACGTTTATTAAATTAAATTAAATTATTAAAACGAAACAGAGTTATTAATTTAAATCAGTATAACACGGCAAGATATAATACTGTCGTGTAAAGAAATATATGTCTTGACGGCGAAAATGCCATAGAAAATAGTTCCATTCCCGTTATGAACTATGCAACGTGGTCATGAGAGGCAGAAACTCACTTTGTCTTAACAATCCAAAATCCTCAGCTGAAATACTCTCTAACTCAACTTTCATTCTGGTTAAGAAATGGAAAGGAGAAGTTAGAAGTTACAGTAAAGTTTGAAATTATAAACAAATGATTAATTTTAAAAATAATCTTTTCAATCTCATTAAAAACATTAAATATTTTTATGGAATTACATTAAATATTTTTAAATATACAAAAGATATATAATATTCCCATATTAGTCTAAAACCATATACATCTAATTTTCTGTAAATTGTTTTAGTATTCTCCGTGAGCCATATCTATCGATAATCCCTACCGATAAATTATATTAAACTTTAAAAGAGCCTTTTTTGGGTCATCGTTAAAATCTAAACCCTTTCAGATTTATTTATTAATTTACCTAGTTTAATAATTTTTCTCTAAATTGATAATGAATAGTGAGCAAAGACCGAAACTGATGACTAAATTTCCTGATCTAATGTCTCTGTTTAGAGGATTCGATATGTGTGTGCTTGGAGCAAAGGGTCCCTAAAAGTTTCTAAGTGCATAGTATTGGTTAATGTAGATTCCTGAAAGCTATGGCTCCTTACGGCATGAAAACAATCAATGTTATATATATAGACATAGTAATTAGAACAAAAAAATTTACCTCAGGGTAATTGGATTTCATGGAGCAAATGGTGAAACAATATGACGGCGGTGCGCGCAGCTAACCATAAGGTAATGAATTATCTTATGGTTAGCTATTAGTTAAATGTTATAAACGCTGTTCGTACATTTTTAGACGAATTTTATTGTAATTACAGAAATACCTTAAATTTTTATGTTTTAAATGTTTTATGTGATAACCCTTTTTCTTCACTATCTTTGTACACAGTAACTTCCAAGAAAATAAATCCTTCTATAATATCAGAAGTAGTATTTTATTCCATTGCTCTCGAACAGCTTTCCGAAGTCAAAGGAGGTTGTAGGTCGAAGTTTGGACAACCCGCTTTTTGAAAGTCCATAAGCATTGAAAATACATTGGTGATAGATCAGAAGGCATATGAGTGAAGGGTATGACCTTGATACCCGTTTCTTGTTCCATTTCTTTTCTATGAACAGTAGATTTTGACGTATCCGCTCCTTACTTTGTCTTGATGCACTTCTACGGATTGATCACACTGTATGTAAAGAGAAGGTATTTCATATTTGAAAATCGGTTATAAAATATGTGGAGTTGATTTAACATTTTTCTTTTATTTTTTTATTTTTAATTTGCTGTTATATTAAAATAAACAATTCAATATCTCTTAGAAAATCTTTCATTAGATTTCTTGAACCATGTTTTATAATATTTATACCTCTTTAATATTAATAAATGGATTTATTTTAATTGCAGCCATTTACGTACACCTAAGGTTCATCTATTGTAACACTATTTTCCCATTTTTGTCCGGATAAATGATTCTCTTAAAGGATTCCGCAGCGCGTTCTGTGTTGGGGGATATATCATGGTGAAAGACATTGCACATTATGTTCTTTCGCCTTTTTAATATTCAAATCAGAATTAATTACTTTGTTTACAGATGGCACTAAGTATTTTAATGGTTTTGCAAATGTCCTTTGAATTGGTGGATTTCCTTTTAAAATTAAAGATCTTACGTTTGCAACGTTCAAAACATTCCGTTGTCTCCTTGCATACGTATTTGGAACAATTTTTGCACTTAAATCTAAATTTTGACGTTTCTTTCCGTTGTTCTTGACAACATTACCTATCGTAGCTTCAGTAGCTTTCACAGCGTATGTTAATAACTGGATACGAATAATTTTCTCCTGAAAGAACAAAACATAACATTCATTCCACTGCTTCGTTAAAAGCAACATTTTGCTTGACACAAAAATTTTCAAGTAGCAGACGAAAATTTATACTTTCAAATATATAACTGCAGTTAAAACAAAAATTCAAAGCAGAATACGTTTTTAGAGCGAAAATAAAATCATCTAAAATATGAGCGAACAGCCTCACTTTACTTTAGCCATAATTTACATTCAGTGCGTGTTTACTTGTGATCCGATGTTTTATCCTCCATTTAGCAAATCAGCCCTACAGCGCATTTTCTTGATAAAATAGAGAGTTTCATTTTTGACGAATAGCATTATTTTAAACGTAATGTAACATCATTAACTGATTTAAAATTTCAATAATATATTATACCTGAAATGCTCCAGACTAACTTTTAGATTGTTTGTGGAACTATATATAAATTGTTGCATGAAAGAATTTATTCATTTCAGGCAAAAGAATCTATGAAAGGCTTCCTGGATACAAAGCTGGAGCAGGTAATTTAAATTTTAAAGAAACTTTAGTCATTCTCTGAGCTGTTTATTACAGAACTAGAGAACAATGTGTTTTTGAAATATATATTAGAAACAACAGTCAACTTTTGGAACGATACATTTTTTATATAGATTATAATTTTCTAACTGTAGTATGCTCCCTTAAGCCTCTTATCCTTAATATAATGCAATTATATTGAGACGAATTGTTCATGTAGTGTATTGCTTAGTTACTCTCATTGACACTATAATTCTTTACTGAAACAATGTATAGAAATTTAAAGAAATTAGGTATAATCTTTTCCTACTTAAATCTTTACATATAATAAAAGGAAGAGTCTGTCTGTGTGTGTGTCTTATGTTTGCGCTACACGTAAGCTAATAAACCGACAGCTACGAAATTTGTTGCATCTAGCCAAAAGCATCATCACATAGGTGCATCTAGTCAAGAACCAGTGCACTTCGAAGAGATTTTTTTCTAAGTCAAATTCGAATTTTTTTTATTTTATGTTTTGTGACGAAATCGCGTCATTTTGAGACATAATGGGCTCTAGGAAAGCGAGATTTTACCCTACACACTCCATTTTCACATCGTCATGAAACGTAGGCACTTAGCTATTTACGAACTTAAATAAATTTCGTCTTTCGATAAATCGATTAAATACGAATTTATTTAACAAAGGGAGCTTAACACCTTTTCAACGGGATTTTTACTAAAAAAGTTTTTTTTTTTAAATGTACAGTTTATTTTTCTTTCATTTGTGGGCACGTTAAACTTTCATCCTTGCGACTGCTTTTACAAAAAGAATTTTTGAAAAAATGATAATATTTTGTATTTAAAAAAATAAATGAAGCTTCCCAGTACACTTCTCACATCTCACATCTTTAAGAATGCGATTTTGGGAACAATTTTCCTTTCTTGTTGTTGTTGATAGATTTTTGATGAAATCGCATAATTTTGGATAGTTTCATTCTTTTACAAATATCGGTTTGGTAACAATTTTTCATCGTATTTCTTATGTCACTGTTTTTAAGAGATTAGTATATTTCATTGTCACTTTTTTATATATATAATAAATTTGTATTGATTTTTTTTATAAAGTTGTTTTGCAGAGTGAAATTCTGCACGGAATTTTATGTTTTTTGAGTTGCTTTCATGTTATTTTTTGCTTATTTCACTGTTTATAAGATAGTGAAAAGTTTTGCATGATTTTTTTTTCCTTCAACGGAAAGTTGGTTAATTTTTTATTAGGATAATTAATATTTGTATTAAGGGTGTTGATAGCAATTGGTAGTTGTGGACTGTATAGTAATTCATAAAAGTCAAGTTGAGAAACTTAACAACATTTATTTTCTTTCAAGCACAATAATGCCGCTTTAAACGGGCAAAGAGTGAGTAAGGAACAATTAACAATTGACTCCCGCTTTGTTCGGGCAGAGGAACGGAGACTCGGTGTGGACCGAGTGTATCCCTATCGCTTACTGATTAGTGCTGGGCTCTCGCCACTAACATTACGTGGCGCTACAAACTTTAAGCCAGTACAAATAGACAGAAATATTCTAACCGAAACGGAACAAAATGATATAGCTTATTTCATTGTAATTTTTTTCTCTTGAAAATATGAGATAAAGTATCATTAATTATACTTTGCTTTTCAGAATTTTTTGTTTTTTGTATTCTTTTATGTTATTTATTGCTGATTTCACTGTTTTTAAGATATTGAAATGTTTTGAGTGTTTTTTTAGGAAACAGTTCTTAAGATTTTGCAAAGGGAAGTTGGTTAATTTATTTATTAGGATAATTAATATTTGTATTAAGGGATATTGCTTATTTCATTGTAATTTTGTTATACGAAATAACTTTTTTTTATGAAGTTGTTCCGCAGAGTAAAATTCTACGCAGTTTTTAAATTTAACGTTTGGTGTTCCCTTCAGCCATTTTTCTGGTACATTTAAAAGCCAGATGAAGGCTGGCAGCGAAGCTGCTAGTATGTAATAAAATGTTACACACACACATATATATTGTTGCGTTCTACGGGTTTGTGGATATGGAGTAATTACACTTGATGAAGAATTAAAACACAATTTATTCGCCAATATTACACAGGACACTTCCCGAAAAACGTTTACAGTGTCTAAAGACTGATAAAACGCTGAAAATCGAAAACACCTTAGGCTACTGATAAGAACTGGCAAAGATAATTACCAGTAGAAAGCTAATCTCGAGAAAATTATGAGGGCCCCAGGAGTAGATTACGTTTCCGTCTGTGTCCGCTAGGGGCGGGGCTAGCGCGGCCATCTTGGGGTCAGAGCGTTGCGCAGCTCAGTCTGCATCTAGCCGTGCTAGTGAGAGGTTCGTGCTGTGCTCCGTTCAGATACTGTGACGGTTTGAAATGTCTGCGTTAATTGAAAATCCCGCGAGCTGCGAGGTGCGCTCAGTAATAAGGTTTCTGACTGCAAAAAACTGTAAACCGATAGAAATCTATCGGCAGCTTCGTGAAGTGTATGGGGACAACATTATCACTGAAGGTGGAGTGCGTCAGTGGGTCATAAGATTTCAAAATGGCCGAACCAATGTTCACGACGAACGAAGATCGAAGTGGGAGACCCAGCATAGTGACCGCCGAACTTCTCGAAAAAGTCGATGCTAAAGTCCGTGAAAATCGAAATTTCACAATAACGGAACTTTCTTTGAGTTTTCCACAAATTTCGCGAAGTTTGTTGCACGAAATCATCAGCGAAAAGCTTGGTTACCACAAGTTTTGTGCAAGATGGATTCCAAAAATCTTGACAGAGGACCACAAAAATCAGCGAATGGCTGCAGCGTTGAACTTTTTGGACGCTTACCATAAGGATGGTGACTCTTTACTCGATCGCATCGTTACTGGTGACGAAACATGGGTGAAACATGTGAACTGTGAAACGAAATTGCAATCAATGCAGTGGGGGCACACAAGTTCTCCCCAAAAACCCAAGAAATGCATGCAAACAATGTCGGCAAGGAAGATGATGGCGACTGTTTTTTGGGACAGAAAAGGTGTAATTTTGGTGGACTTCCTGGAAAGAGGCACTACAATAAACTCTCAAAGGTATTGCCAAACTCTCCAAAAACTCAGAAGAGCAATTCAAAACAAGCGCAGAGGAATGTTGAGCTCTAAGATCTTGTTGATTCACGACAACGCCCGGCCCCACACGGCAAATGTCACTCGTAAAGTTCTTGAATCTTTTAAGTGGGAGTTGTTTCCTCATCCGCCGTACAGTCCCGACCTGGCACCGAGCGACTTCCACCTATTCCCAGCAATGAAGAAGTGGCTGGCTATGCAGCGTTTTGATGACGACGCACAGCTGCAAGAAGAGGTAACGAAGTGGTTGAAGGCGCAGGCGGCCGAATTTTTCGACGAAGGAATTTCCAAGCTCGTACATCGCTACGATAAATGCCTTAATTTGTATGGTGACTATGTAGAAAAGTAGTATTTGAGTGTGGCTTTCATCTGTATATAATAAAATTTGTTTCCTATACTTTGTTTATTTTTTTATTCCAAAACGTAATCTACTTTCTGGATAGCCCTCGTACATACTACTCTGCGTGCAGTGCAGGCAGGGTTTATATAGCTTTAACCTACCTTCGAGAACATTCTTGAGAAAAACCGCCAAGAATGTGTTCTAGAATGTTCTCGCTTGGTCTATGGCATATCTCCAATTTAGTCGTTAAATATCACCAAAATGGGAGATTTCGCGCCAAATCTGGCAACTCTTCTTTCTCTTGCCACTTTCTAACAACGCTAATCCAGGCTTGCGGGGAAGCTGTCCTACCGCAGCTGGTTTCTCGCAAAATTTTATATAACGATATTAAAGCCTAAATTACAAAGAAATAATAAATGTTGTTAAATATTTACTGCACATGAATGAAAATTACTTACAAATGATTACATTTCTGCTTTTATATAGTTCCGTAATTTTCATAAATAAGAAAAAACCTTTATAAATATATCTAACCTTTCTAAATTAATTGATTTATAAAGGTTGTCGAGCCTCAGTGTGAAAATTTCCTAACATTGTTTTCGAAACAGTCTGTAGCTTAACTTGTAATATAAATTAACCTCTGTAAATTATTTACGCCATTATGGCTGGAGATGCAATAACGTCAATTACTTGCAGTACAAGTAATAAAGGCTGCAATGTATAATGCCTAAAAGAGACGGTATTATTGCATGGCATCTATGGATTTGCAATGTATATTGATCATAATGCCTAACATAATATTTATAAGCCACGAAATGTAAGCATCTCATTTTGTGTATGTATTTCCCTTTATTAGCTTTTCTTGCACCTGAAGCATCATTTTTTAACGATTTTAAAATTTAAAATATGAAATGTAAAATGTAATTTCAATTCAAAAAATTAAAAAAAAATGTTTCCTTACAAGCATCTGTACGTTTTCTCATTCAGCGCCAATTGCGTTATTCCCGCATCATGTGCCGGCAAACTATGGTCGTGGGCAAAACCTGGCCCGACAAAAGTTTTTTTATCCGGTTCTCTGCTTAATATCGTTTACGATCCTGAATCACTTAAATATTGTTTGCTCGTGGCACAGAATAAATATGCTCAAAGAAAAGAGATTTATTTCGATCTCTCAGTCTTCGGACGAAAACATCTGTTAGGACATCTGAAGATATCGGAAGCCACATAAAGAGTCAATTAAAAGAGAAGGTAAGCAAGTTCAAATAGGCTTCTCGTTGAACTGTTGATGAATCGACAAGGTGTTACTAATTGAAGATTTTAACTGCTCTTTGGAAAAGTCAATCTTGTGTCTGATATGACTGAAGTAGTTACACCAGCGAGTTTCTTTCTGAATCTGTTTGATAGGCCCTTAATTTTATTCACGCTCGTGGACTTGACCGTCCTCATTTTCATGATTTTTTTATTAGAGGAAGAAGCCGAATATCCTGACATGCCCTATCATACAGCAGGCTGATGACTAAAAAATTGAAAACTTTTATTGA